TAGTTATAAACGTTATTTAAGTTTTCACAACAGAAAAAATGTGCATACATACATACATATGTATGTTTAAAAATTTTGTACTAAGTTTTTTAAAACATTTAATTTGTAGAAATAATAATATAATATTTTTCTAAATTAATCTTTTGTTTAAAAATTTAAGCTTGGAATTCTTTTAACAAAGTTTTCTTAAGATTCTTGAAAAACTTTACAGACAGAAATCTTAAAATTTTCCTATGAATAATTACTTTTTATATGTACATTACTATAGCATTGAAATGGCATTGTGGACCAAGCGATTAGAGAAGTAACATGACTTTTCTTATTTTCCTGAAAAAGTAAATTTTTAAGAAAAGTTATGGTGAGAATATTGAAGATTAATAAAAGAAATCAACACTTGTTCAAAATTTACAAACACCATTGTTGATTATTTCTACGTATAAACTTTTTTTTTATTCTAATCATATACAGACAAGCATCGTAACATAAAATGCTTCCCACACAGTGCTGCAAAAAGTGAAGCTTTTATCTTCGAAATAAAGGTTTTTTGAAAATATATCGGTAAAGTCGAATGAAGATTATCGAAGACCTTATCATGGTGTAGAAGCGTAGTAATGTCAAGGATTTTCAGAATTTGAGATGAGATCTGAAACCAAAAAATAATCAGTCCCTTTCATAGCCTTCCTTTCCCATTACACTCCATCATTCTAAACTCTTTTGCGCCGGATTAAGAACTTATGTAACGCGATAATTAGGTTGACTAGTGTTCCAAATAAATTTTCCGGATGGAGTATTCGGATGCCTGCCGTCCTCGGGACATCATTTCTGCGCATTTCGTGGGATCAACAATGGAGAAATTAAATTTTGAAAAAAAAAAACCAAATGATACTCACCAAAATCCAGAAAGGAATATGTCCAAGCCAATTCCGAATCTAAATGTGAGGCGAGGCTACAGATGGTCAAAAGGACTGGCTTCAGCACTAAACGCATGCCAACGGTTGCGAATCTCTGTTTGGAACGTCGATCTGTGTTTAGCAATCTGAAGAGAATCGGCCGAATTCCAGACGAATTGAGATTGGAAAGATCTCATTCGCTCTAAGAATTTTAAAAAAGTAGCTGGCGAGACATTGGGCTACAAAAATTTAAAAATTGAAATTTTTGGGCAACAAGTTAATCCGTCAAACGTAACTTTAAGCAAGAACGAATGGGTAAATAATAAGTCATGTAAATATTCATAAATATTTATGCGTTTAACAAATTTAAATTTATTTACAGATGGAGCTGTTATTATTATCAAATATGTAAGTGTCAATCAAAATATTTTAATTTTCACATCCTTTCATCCTTTTAAAATCAGCTGTCTTGTTATTTAGGATCTTTTAAAATTCATTATTTTATGTATTACCTACAATTCCTCTCAATTTTGCTTAAAAATTCCATTGCATTAATAAAGTTAATCAAAATGCGAGACCTGGTGGCATTTTGGAACTAAATATGGCATTTTGACGTTTAAAAATTTTAGTACAAAATGTATATAGACATTTATAAATACACATATACATATATTATTTAAGCATCAACATATTTTTTTTATTTTTATATAGACATTTGAGCTATTGTATCAGGAATTTGCACACTATATTTAATGAAGACAACGAACAGGGGTTTAGTTGCCTTCTCAGTTCTCTTATTTTTGACAGCTTTTCATTTAAAGTATCAAAAATTACAAAGTAAAGTATACTCGTATAATATACGCCTTGCATGTTTTACACGCTTTTACATTATGTATACCTTATATGGAACGTTAAAGTGTGTAAAATTTTCAAATATGTATATATTTTACTTTTTCATGTATATATTTTACTTTTTTTTTTTTGTGAAAATTGGCGGTTTTTCTATTAACACACCTGGGCACCCATAAGACAGAACTGGTCATCCTCAAAAGGAAATACAAAATACCGCGTAAGGTTCTGCCGAAACTGAATGAGGCTTTCTTTCTCCTCCGAGACTAGATTCTTGGGACTAATTTTGGACTCTAAGCTAAACTGAGGATCCAACATGAGGGAGCGAGTGAATAAAAAAAACTACTGCGCTTTATTCATGCAACAGAGCCATTTGGAAAAAGTGCGGCATCGAGTCTCGCGTGATTCACTCTTCGTGACTCTTTGGGTACTATCTGATTGACAAACACAGTAGGAGGATGGCCCGCTCCGCTAACAATATCTTCAAAAGCTGCATGTGACTAGAAGGAGGAGGGGACGGTGGCTCATTTTCTGCGTTCATGTTTTTAAAATTGCTCGCAATATTGTGAACGCCATCAACTTTGAATTTCTATAACATCTTATACTGTAAGAAATTTAAAGTTTAGTTTTTAAAATTTTTGTTTAGGTAAATTATAAGCCAGAGGAATTTACAATTTCCTTACTTCACCAATTTTAAACTTGCTAGATTTTAGAAATTAACTTTTTAATTATAATGGTTTTAAATGTTATTACCAATTTGAAGTCTTCTTTTTAAAATCTAAATAAACTTTAAAAAATTTTTGCTTTAAACCTTAAAAGTTTACTTTAACCTTAAAACTTTACGGTTTGAAATTAATTTTTACTTTAAACTTAGCAATTTCAATTAATAAGGTTTAAATCTTAGCAGTTTTGACAACGAATTAGAAATGTTAAAGAAAAGTCATTTGTCTCTATCTTGTTTGTATTCTCTAAAAAATTGCATATTGCAAAAAAGCATTGTGAAGTCCAAAACTATCTTTGTTCCAAGCATTGTAAAATTGAAATTGACATTTTAATGCCAAATGATTTTTTTTTATTTTTTTGGAAAAGTAAGGATAGCTGGTACAAATAGGTTAGTTAACAAACAAAGTTTTGTGATTTTATTTTTTAGTTAGTGCAATTTGTGAATGAACAGTTAGAAAAAACATAAAAAAAGTGTTAAAGAAAGATGATTGTTTTGTAAAAACTGTTAAAAAAATATAAAAAATTGAAAAAAAAACTAAGTTTTCGAAAAAGAAAAAGGTTCATAGTTTCAAATTGTTGAGTTAATTTATAATTCGTAAATTTTCTTCCAACATTTGGTTTGTTTTTAAAATAAAATAACTTCGGGCGTTTCATAATTACACCTAGGAGCAGCTATTTTTTTATTAAGGGAATTAGTTTGTATTTAATGTCATGAATATAATATTCTAAATGGATTTTTTTTAAAATTAAAAGAAAGTGGATTGCAATTAGTAAACAAATTTTCATTTCAAATATTTTACTAAATATGAAGTACTGTATAATGAAAACATTTTTAATAAAAATATAAAGAAATATATGGTACAATTTATTTAATGCCAGATTAATTAATGTTGCATAATTAACAACAAATTTTCAGGAAGGATATTTATTATACAAATCCACGTCGAGAATTACCATAAATCTTTTGACGACAATATTTTTTTTTAAATTTAAATAATTCCTATATTAGACCTGGAGCCAGAAATAAGTCATTTTACTTTAATTTTAAAATCAATGTGCCACACATATTCTATATTAGAATAAAACATGAAGTAAAACTGCCATATTAAACTGATAATATTAAAACTTTTTTAACAAAACACATACATACCTACATACATATGTTCATTTTCAAGGCGAGTAACATATTGTAATATTAAAATATTAACACTTACATTTACATTTCAATTTATAAAATAAATTTTTTCAAATAAAGAAAAAAAAAATGATTGAGTTTTTTAAATTTAATTTTTTTTTCAGATATTTCAAATAAAAAATATTTTAAAATACTTTTTAGTTTTTATTGAGAAAACTTGATGTGATTGCTACATACAGAAAACTTAGATCATACTGCCTGATGCTCTTCCGCTTCCCCCAATATCTATGTTCACAAATTTACTATGCGCATTAACTTCAGCTAAAAGAACTATCTTGAAAAAATGCTCGTAATTAAAATAATCAGATCCACAGTGCGCTGGACGTTAATTCTAATATGGCTTCCATCGATGGCTCCCAATGTGTGGGAAAAGTCCCAAATTTGTTCGAATTCCTCAGATTCATATTCCGTAGATGGTATCTAAAGTTTACATGTTCTTATTGAAAATGTCGCAAAAAAAAAATAAATGTGTAGGTATAATATCTATTATTTTACCTTTAAATGTGGTTGAAAGGCTTTATACATCGAATTTGTTTTATCTTGTATTGAATGGATACGAGTCTCCTGTAACAATGTACCTCAAATATATAGCAAGCCCAGTTCTGCAAGCTATTCCATACCTCATATACTTATGCATTTTGTTTTTTATTGTTGGCTCTACCTAATATTTAAAAAAATTGATTTTTTGTTTTAATATAACATAATTTAATTTTACCAAAGCAAGGAAGGCTTCAAAACCATGAATCGTCTTTCGACAAAAATTTTTAATTTCTTCGGAATTTTCCCATAATACGTTTTTCAAAAGAAGAGTTTCAAGATCATGCTGTTCTCGTTTTTACAAAAAACGATTCATCCAAAATTTGTTTCTATTTTATTTTATTTTTTCTCTTTCTCGCATCATGTAAATATTTTAATTAGTGCAAAACTAGAATCGTTCTTTGTTAGTTTTTGTTTAAATTCATGATTAAAAAAAGTTTTGCCTGACTGAATTGGCGCAGTAAGAAAAATAAGGATAGAAAAAATCATAATGGAAAAATCACGACAAAGCTCTAGTGGAGACACTCCGCAAATTCTTTAACGTCAAAATTTTGATTTTAGTCTGCAAAATGTCTGAAACTAAAACTTTTACGGACAGAAATGTAGTAAACTTTTTACCCGTAATTGACTTTGAATTTTGATCATCCGTAAACGTCAAAAAAAAAATTTTTTTTAGATTTAAAATAATTTTATACTTACATATTAAAAATTAATAAAAAAAGTATTTTTTATATTATTTTTAACGTAATGATAGTCACTCAATACATCAAATTTATTTACTGAATTACTACGTCAGACTGTCTGCATGTAAAAAAAAAAATCTACAATTTTGACGCTTAATTGACTTTTTTTAAACGTTTAAGAATTTAAACTTTGACTGAGAGTAAAAACGTAGTAGAGTATCCGTAAACTCAGACAACTCAGATTTTGTAAAATTTGACGTTTAAGAATTTACCAACTATCTAATTGTTTATTATTCCCCTCTATTATGTATATCGGTATCGGCCGATAAACGATAATTTATCGGCAAAATTTTGCGTTTGTATTACCAACATTGTTTATCGGTAAATTTTATCGGAGTCGGGAAAGCTTTTTTTCCCTGTATAGGAAACGTATTAGCTGGTATTATGAAAACGATAAATTGTCGGGTTTTCACCGATTTAAAAGCGGGTACAAATTTTTAGACGACAGATTTTTTTTTTTTTTGTAAAATCTTCATTTTATCAAGGAAACTGGTGTAATTAATTGCTTTTTTAAAATGTAAGCATTTTTTCTAAATTATTTTCTTTCAAAATGTTATTCATATATTTTATTTAGCTGTAAAATCGTAAGCAACAAAAAACAAATTGCACGGTTAGTAGAAAAAATGGAAGAGGACTTAAACCTGGCAAGGAATGATAATCTGAAATTCTGGATAAACCTAAAAAATGTGTACATATTATATAAATAATAAAATAAAATAGGAACATAAACATACATTTTGTTGTCTAAATCCAATGGATAGGGTTGAATCTCTTATATGTCGTATTTGAATAGCTTGCGTTTCTTCACTTACTACCGTTTCTTCACTTTCAAAATATAATGCACGTGACATTTTCCCGATATATGTATACTTTTATTTTACAAATTTAACAGAAAATAATTTTCTTACAACAACTTTTTAGCACATCAAAACCAAATTCAAAATAGTTTTAAAAATTTATAATATTCCCCTCTATAGTTTTAAAAATTTATATTGCATATTAAGCTATATAACATAAACAAAATACAATTTTTAAAGGGACCCTGGAAGAGATTCAAACCCTAATGAACTGATTAGGGTTTGAGAACCTTCGGTTAAAAGACGAGTGATATAAACATTGCACCATTTACTTGGTGGCCTGATAGATGAATATGTTTTTACGATATACATATGTACATATATTACATTCTACAGCATTTTCAGTTAGTGAAATTTTTATAAAGGAATTTTAAAGAAATGAGAATAGGTAGAGTTGACCCTGTCAATTTTGCAATACTCAGACGAATTGAGTGAAATGAGTATTTTGAAGTGTGTGATGATTGCCACACAGTTTCACAAGGCTTCTTGTTGGCTATATGTACATATGTATATCTATGAATGACTTTTAAAACAAAAAAAAAAATAGAAAAGAACCGAGCCAAATTTTGTTTGTTTAAAAAAAAACTAAAATATTGTGTTCAAACGGAAACGAAACAACATTTTTGTATAAAAAGAATTTCGTTTTGTTATTTTTTGTTCGAAGCAACGTACTTGATTTCATCATTAAATTTTTGTTTCAAATTAACTTTTTTAAAAATTTCGATTTGAAACAAATTACACGTTTCCACTTCAGTTATCGGTTTGAAATAAAATAAAACGGAATGAATAACATTCAAACGACATTCTACGATAAATTTTTTGTTGAACAGTTAGTGTTTTAAATTATTTTTGAATTTTAATTCTAAATTTTAGTAAAATGAAATATCTATTGCGACAAAACTAAACTACACTAAGTCCTCGAGATACGACATTTTTGGTTCCAGAAATTTATGTCGTAACTCGAATTGTCGTTTGAAGAGGAAAAAAAAATGTATTGAAACAAAAAGTGAATTAGACAAACTATATTATAAAATAATTTACCTTTTTTTATACAAAAAGGTAACAAAGTTTAAAAAAAAAAACAGCAAAATATAATAACAAAATCAAAAAAATTCAATGATGTAACAAAAATAAATAAAATAAAATCTAAATAAGTTGATATTTTATCACTTCAATTCGTACTCATAACTACTAACTAGAATTTTTAACTAGAAAGAGTTCATTGTTGAAGTAAGTGCTTTAGTCTCGTCTTATAACTAAATATAGTTAGTATAGATTTTTAGTTAACTCGGTATAGATTTTTATTCAAAAAACAGTAAAATCTGTCAAAAAAACAATTTTTTTTTTAAATTTTCAATGTCGTATTAGGAACAATGTCGTAAGCCGAATAAAAATGATCCAAATTTATATCATGTCGTAACTCGAAATGTCGTATTAGAAGATGTCGTATCTCGAGGACTTAGTGTATATTGAAAAATGAACTATGTATATTAAAATCTATATGGAAAATATTTACACATTCAAACTAATATTTAATTAAATATACCTTATTACATGCGAAGAAAAATAATTACAAAGTATTAATATATAATAAAAAATATATGTGGGTTTTTATTTAATAAACTTATTTTAAGTATTTTCCACTTAACTCTCGTTATAATAGCATTCTTGTGCGTCCGTATCACAATTTGCATATTCTTTTATTTTTGGAGACATCAAATCTTCATGGTTAACGCAAGCGCAACGGTATTCTGTAGACAACCTTGGATTTTCAAAAAATTTTCTTGGAACGCCAGACCAATTCCTTTCTATCCCCCCACTTGATTTTGTGCACCAAACCCTTGTTCCTAAAATTGAATTTAAATATAACATTAGGCTTGTTTCAAAAAATTCTTATTTTTAAGTCAAATTAGGTCAATTGAAGCCTTGACAATTTTATGCAATTAAGAGCTAGAAAATATTATATAAAAAAAATAAAGGCGTTTCAGTCGGTATGAACTGACTGAATTATACCCTGGGCCTTGGTAATCTGTATTTTCTTTTTAAAATTTCAAAAAAAGCTTTCATTGTTGTATATCAAGTATTCGAACTGGTCAAACCACTCTATAGGAACTGCACGGATATGTCTGACCTATAATTGGACACACGACTGCCAAGTTTCATGAATCTGACTTTAATATTTTTCTATTCAAATATTTAAAATTAGCTTTTGAAGTTATAAGACACATTATAAGACCCGAACCAATGCACCCATTCGATTAAAATTTTCAGGACATATGAAAAGAGTAATTGTATACATCTTTGTAAAATTTGATATTAATAATCTTTGTTAGTTTTCGAAATATATAAAAAAACTTTTTTGTACGACAGCTACTCGAACCCGTTGTTCAAATTGCTCCAATTACAATAGCAGCCGTCCTTGTCAAAAAAAGAAATAACTTGTGAAAGTTTGCTGTCGATTGCATTATTTGTTTTTAGGTTATCTGCGATCGGACGGACGTACATGATATGTATATGCATGTCCACACCGGAGACGACTCCTTCAAGGTTACAAACTCCACATAAAAGTGAAAATACCCTTCACCACGGTGCAGCGTATAAATGTGTACATATTGACATTTTTCTAATAACAAATTTTTTTATTCTATAATAGTCAACTATATGTATATTATATTAAGACTACATTTATATTGTATTTAATAACAAATTGTTAGATATCACTAATAACTCTGAGAAAAAACTAATAATATTAAAGAGAATCAAGACAAACCAAACTAGAATATACTTTAAACAGCTGTTGAATCAATTCAAGAAACGCTCAATTAATAGAAATAATAGATTTGAAAATTCGAACCAAGTAACTTCACCTACTCGTATAAAGAGTTAATGAGAAAAACAAGTATGAAGATGTTAACAAATATTCATAAGCTAAACCAATCGCCTCCTGGTATTACTTCACAAAGTTGGAAAATATGTTAAGTCGTTCATATTTGTGCAAATTATAATTCAGTATGCAATTTCCAGTAGGGAGGCCGCCCACCAATTTGGCTCCGCTTCTACTACACGCCCAAAGTCCAATGGAGACTTTGGAGAGACGAACTATTAGGAGGCATTGAATTCTTAATAAAAAAGCTCGACCCAGCTTAGTAGCGCCTGTAGCCCGTGTTAAACTAAATTTTAATAAAAATAAGTTTTGTTAACATATCCCTGTCGAATGTTTTTACGTAAGCAAAGGCCCAAAGCAAAAATCTCTAACTGGAAACCGTTGGAGCTCTTGAACAGACTAAGTCTCAACCTGGAGACGCGAGTCTACCTTAGCATCCATATTGACGAGGGGATTTACCAGTCCGCCGCATCTTTGATGCCAGTAAGAGTAACATTTCGTATTATGTAGCTTACTAGCATATACATAACTACATAATAAATATGTATGCATGTGCGTACATAAATATGGGGCCTTCTCATGATCGATAAAACATATTATGTTTATTGCAAATTTGAGACAACAATGTCCGAAATCAGTACAAATTTATTCGGCAAATTTTTGAACATCAGTCCTCTAACGTCCCAGTTCGCTAAAAATTTCCTGAAAATTTGGCCACTTGCTACATATCGTTGTCATGTCGCGCGCATCGTTGCAACGGTTTTGAAAGATGTTGAAAAACTTTTGTTATGTTCGACAAATTATTTAAAAATTGTGCCCAGAAAAGATCCTGAAAAAGGTCATCTGAGACGAATAAAACAAAAATTTTGCGTATCTATAACATACATATATTGGGTAATATAATAAACGGATAGCTCAATGTAATTTTAATATTATGTATCAGGTTATTTTTATAACAGCGCAATATGTCTATCCAGTGTAAAATTTTACAGTTTTGAATTAAGATAGAGTTCACATAAAATATGCAGGTATTTAATTTTGATACCTAAATGCCAAAATTAATTTTGTTTATTTGTTCATTGACTACTTTATATGTATGAAAATCGAATAATAAACGCAAAACATTGAAATTATTGAATAACAAAAAAAAAATTAGAAGAACTTTTTTGATCAGTTTCTAATTTTCAATGCACAATCATCGCAAGTGTAAATTATAAAGAATGAAATGCGAAAAAATTTATTAATAAGAGGCTGAATATTTTTGATGATTAATCTATACATTTGCATGTGGATAAAAAAACAATTTTTCTCAAATGAAAATGCAAATTATGAATGTCTCCGGAATTTAAATTTTTTCGTTTTTCAGGAAAAATCACGTAATTATAAAAGTTTAGCGGATATACTGGTATTAAATTTCAATGTATTTATTGTTTGATAAAACTGCATTAAAATTAGTACAATAATTATTAAAATGTTTTTATTACTGGTAGCTTTTTTTTTAATTTAAAAATAAATTTTCAAATTATTCAAAGTGTTTTCAAAAAGAACGTATGAATTTTTTTACTAAAATAGACATTAATTTTTAATGCTTTTTTTTTCAAAAATATAACTGAATATTTTTGCACTTTTTGTTCAGTTTTTTCATTTTTACTTGAAGTTATAAAAATCCTACTGACTTTCAAACAAGATTAAGGTGAAGATAGTACACTTCAGAATTAAAAGTGGTAGACTTTTTTACAATAGCGAAAAAATTAAATTAAGAAATTTATAACTGGCACACTAAAAGCGCATTCTCTAAAAACTTTAAAATTCTAACTCTTGGAATAAAATATTTATTGATATATCAAATATTTAGATAAAGGGCAAAAACCATCAAAGCGTAAAGATTAAAATAAAACTTAATTAACAAAAATGTAAGACAACATATGGCAGAATTTCAGCCAAATTCATTGGCAAAAATTCAGTTTACATTTGAAAAGTGAACAAAATTGATTTTGAATTTATTATTTAACTCTAAATTTTAGAATATTATGTTTCTGTGCATTTATTTTTTAAGTATAAAATTACAAATCTATATTGTCTTTAGGAAAACGATCACTAAAATAATCGAAAAAATGCTATTTTATCTTATTAAAATTACCTTTTTCTTCTTTCCATTCAATATTGCAGTATGGAAATTTTTCTTTTTCTTTTTGGATTTTTTCTTTTTCTCTTTTGGCTAGTATAATCTGCTCGTCAAGTTTTAAATGATAACTAGTTTTTCTTCCGAATTCGTCAAAAAATCTAAAATAATTTTATTCAATTTTTGATTCAAAAATTTTATATATTACTGGACTTTATCTACATATTATATACTTAGATATTATATATGTATATATTCTTAAAAAAAATAAACCAACTACCTCCCAATCAATTTCCCTTTATATACATATTCTTTATGATAAAAGTCTCTCCAATTGTTGAGTTCCCAAATTTGAGATAGTTTCAAAGAAGCTACGTTATCTGAATCCTCATTGTAAACATCGAAATCACCCGTAATAAAAGATGCTGATGCATCACGTCCGGCAAATGCGTTATAAGTGCAGCCAAAACCATAATGCTTTCTTCCACGAGTAACATCAAATACCTTTAATTACTGTTATCTTACTTTTGAATTTAAAATGAGCATAATTTTTAGAAAAACAGTAAAGAATTTGCAACTAAAATATTAGTTACCAAAAAAATCTATCTTTCGATTTTTTATAAAATTTTAACATTATGTTATAAATACATACAATTTTATAATGTATAAAATTAAAACTTTTAATATCCTTAAAAAATTTTAAGCTTATATCTAAAGTGGGTGGATTTGTAATGAAATTTTGTAGTTAATTTTTCTCGCAATTGCATTTAAAAATATAATTAATTAAATGTAAATTACACTTTGTTTTAATTCTTAATGAGCTTTTTATTTCTGGACAATAGAACATTTTTGTTTACATTACATATTTATAGCAATTTCAACTTACCGACCCTAAGATACTCAAGTATATTTCTGTATTCTCGTCAGCTCCATTAAACTTCCATAATTCATCTTTAGTAAATAACAATTCCTTTGTGTCGCTGTGTGCTTTGAGCTTTTTGGTATATCCAGATTCTGATTTGGTATTGCCTAATTTTTTAACAGAATCGGAAGAATTGTATATTACGAAATCTCTAAGTGACCACTTAAAGGTATCTAATATTTGAGGGTAATATATGCCTGCCAGTATAGACACCAAAATCATTAAAAACTGGATTTTAAATAAATGTTTGATTATTCTTAACATTTTTTGTTTATTTATCAGATGTAAACTAATAAAAAAATGACACTAACAAACGTAAACAAGGATGGGATGACGCTTTTTTTGCTACTAAAAATTAGTACACAAATACAATTGTAGAAGAAAAAACTTTTTTCTTTCAAATAAAAGTAGGAGCGATTGACCACTAACAGTGTTTTTCTTTATTCAGTTTCTGAAAGTAAAAGGGGCATATCTCAAGAATTCAAAAAAATTTAAAATATATATCAAATTTTTTAGGTTTGAAAATAATTTAATTATAAAAAGCTATCTAACTTTTATTTGGATTGTGAAAACTTTACAAAATTCAATGACAAACACTATTGCTGATTTGAATAACAGTTTATTAAGGACCTTACTATTTCGTTCATCCTTTCACTAACGATTTCTTTTTTTAATTGTAAACATTAAGGGTTTCGATTTTATTTATCATATTTTATGGGGAATTTATTTCGTCATTAGTTCAACATTTTTTAAAGAAAATTTTTAAAAGTAAAAAATCTCTTTAAAATTTTAGCAAAAATTTTAGTTTAAGCGCAAAATAGCGCAATAACTTTAAAATAGCGCTAATTTTACTTTAGGGTACATTACATTTATCGGGTGTATGTAAAAGTTAGAGAGTGATAAAAAAGCACAGGAAAGTGCTAAATTGGCATCACTGTTTCCTATATTTATATTTACAACGACTATCGACAAAAAATTCAATGCTTCTTTTAGCTTTGGACGATAATGCGTCATATCTTTGTTTTCATTTTAAAATGTTCGTAAAAAGGTAAATTTTAAAATGAAAAACACAGATAGGGCAGTAAATAAAACTATTCATTATTTTTTAATATCACATTAATAAGCTCATTAATAAAGGAAAAATTTTTTAAAATATCTTCTTTTCTTATACGCAGTATAAATCTTTGATACATTATGTATGTGTGTAACTGCAAATTATGAATTTGTATTTAAATAAATTGAAGTACATAATATATCATTGCAATAGCAAATAACCAACGAATTAGAAATACTAAAAGAAGGATCTTGTAAAAACAATTAAACCGAATTTTATCTAGTTGTCTCTTTTTTTGCTCCGAGCAGTGACAAAGTCGTAACAGTAGCGTATTTATTTTATTTCTTACCTGGCCTCAACTATAAAATATGTGTAATTTGGAAGGATAAGTTAAAATTTTTTTTAAAAGTAAAAACTAAAAAATATTTCAAAATATTTTTTTTCATTTTAAATACCTGTAAAAAAAAATCAAATTTAAACAAAACTTATTATTTTTTTTTCTCTTTGAATAAATTTATTTTATGAATTATAAAATTATAAATTTTTGTAAAATATTTGAAATGCCAACTTCTTCATTAATAATTCCGATCCATTTTCTTTTCATTTCAGTACATCTAGGAAAACTGTAATTATATAAAAATAAAAGATACAATTTAAAATATTGTATGTAAGCTATATTTTACTAAACGCAAACTAATTTTGTATAGAAAAAATTATGGTAAATCCGGTCTTGGTAAAATTATGTCATTCGAAGTAATTTTAATTTAAAACAAAACAAAAATATATGTTTTCTTTGCAAAATTAAAAACTTAAGAAAATTATAAATTATGAATTAATCAAAGCATTGTTGAATAAATATTTCTTTTAATTATTGAAATGAATAATATTCACATGTAAATATTGTAATAAAACTATTTGCTTTTACAAGTGGGAATAACAATTTGGAACTACACACCTTTTTCTTTTTAACAGATTTTTTTCTTTTTTTCACTTCTTATAATTTTTTTATAAGTTTTTATCAAATAGTATTCTTTTTTTAACACTTATTATTAAATATTTTATAATTTTTTATTTACCAACTGCACTAATTTTATATACAGAATAAAAAATCTTCTTTGCATTTTATGTTAATTTCAGTTTCACAATACAAAGAAAGAGACCTACCTAAAGTTTTTGGCTGCACTATGTTTTTTTCAAGATACGATTTTTTAGTGAGTGTAAGCGAGATAGAAACAAAGATGCGCCTTCCTTTAGTATTTCTAATTCGTTGCAAATTGCAAATATAATTTTATATTCGTGCTGATTGAAATTTCTACTGTTTAATGTTGATTGAAATATGGAAAGCTAAAATTTCGCATTGAAAACATACATATGTATGTATATGCAAGTTCAAAATTATTTTTGTCTTGAAATTTTTTTTTGGGGCGTCGTATCTGCAATTGGCATATTTCGACATCGTTCCAGTCTGTTATACCTTATTCTAATAGCCTATTTACAAAAACAATGTTTACAGAAAAACAATGGCATTCTTAAGATACATAGTGCATAGAATCAAAAGCAACTGACTTTGTACAAATTTTGGTACTGTTACAGTAAAAAAGAACCTGTTAATCAACCACTTTAAAAATTGTACAACAAAGGATTATCTAAATTACATTTACTGGCCATAGTGCAGTAGGATAAGGAATTTGCTTTGGAGATCTTATAAATCATTAAGTGGATTGAAGACAATGAATTGTGCTATTAAATTAAATGTCATTTATTCTTGCTTAAGTAAAATAGATTTGTAAAATTGATATATGATAATAGTAGATTCAAAACCCATATATTTGCAAAATTTTAAAAAATTAAACTAATTATGTATAAGGTTTTATTCCTCTTGTGAAAATACACATTTTCCTACATTTGTATATAATTAAATGTATCAAAACCCTTTGTTTACAACACAAAAAAAATTTTGTAACAAAATCCCATGTTTGGTTGGATTGTAGTATTAGTAGCCGTAAAATGTTGTTTCAAAATACATTATTTGTAAATTTAAAGCTTGACATAATACATTTTTATCATGAAACACGATGTTAATTGACATATTTCAAAGATCGAGAAGATTTTAGAGAATATGTTATTTATTCCCAAGTAATTTTATGGCTTTAGCAAATTAATAAAATGAAGTTCTTGTACTAACCGTAGAAATAAATGTTGAATTAAAATGGAATCGAAATGAACGTTGTTCTATTTACATTATATTTACGTTCAATTAGTTTCTTAGATGTGATTAGAAATGTTAAATCGACCCCTGGTTCAGTTTTCGAAGTATTTTGATTTGTTTATGAAAAATATCTAAAATTTTTATAAAAGTACTAAAATACGAAATGTTACTTTCTACAGTGCTATATTAGTTTCAAATTTTATTAAACATTTTCCTTGAAGCTCTTAATCAGCTTTCTATTTAATTCTTTAAAATTACTCATCACTCAATAAAACTGTTGGCAAAGTACTGTAGACTTAAGAACATTTACAAAATTATAATATTTTTCATGTAACTGTGTAATACTTTCAAAAGTTGTAGATTATGTTGTAAACGGAACTAAATATTATTCTCATCTACAACAGAAAACGTATTCATTATAATTCTGCTATACTTAACTAAATATAGCTATACCGGCATTTAAAATAAAATTTGTACTTAACTTTCTTTCTTACCAAACAAGTTCAGAACAAATTTATAATCTCTTACAACATTAGAAAAAGTTTCATTTTTACAGTTTTTTATATACCATAACCAAAATTTAATTTATATTATTGCAAAATTTAAATAAAATTGAACAAAATTGACATTAAAACATTTTGACTTTTGTTTCTGATCAAAATTATTGCAACAAAACCCATTATTTGCTATATTAGTTGCAACAGAACCCATCAATACTTGTATATAATTGCAACAAAACCCCTTATTTGCTTTCTTAAATTCCGTTTTTTGTTCAAAATGTCTTGTTTATCTTTATTATTTCTTTACAGAAAGGCTTAAACTCATTTTTTTCACGAGTATAAATAATATAATTTGAAATATGAGTGCCGAATAACTCACAAAACGTTTTTTCCATTTTACTCAAAACTTATTAATCTGCAAATGTATAGGTTTTGATTCTACTATCTTCAAATAATATTATTTATATGCTCGTTTTATTTATTCCATGTTTGGTTATAATCACACTATTATATGTTTCTTTACAAATTAAATGCAGACCAAAGTATATCTACTAATAAGTAATTCGACTCGTTCCATTCCGTTAGTTTTCATTTGCATCTTGTTTGCAAATTCTTAAAATATTCTATTTTTTTTTAGAAATAGATGGTAATAAGAGTTGTGTAGGCAAGAAAGAAACAAAATATTGTAAACAAACGAGTGTATCAAAAACATTGAACTAAAATAAAATTAAATTAAGTTAGGTAAAAATTTTGTTATTTTTGTTTTGATAATAACAAAATTTATATTTCATTTTATAAAATTTAGGTAAAAAATTCGAATGTATGAAAGCAAAAGAGTTTGAAATTTCATGTATGAATGTACACATGTATGTACATTTATAAAGAAAAAAAGGTGTATGCATACTGATTACTTTATGAAATATAGTTATTACCGATTCATTTAAAAGAACAAAGCTCTCCACATCTCTTGGCAACAAATTAAATTTCGTGTCGGCTTTTTTGTCTCACACACAATATTACATCCCAAACACTTCAAATAATGTTTACCCATTATTATAAAAAAATTTTTTTTTTCACAACTACTTAAAATTTTTTTTGATATTATACGTCTTTTTAAAATTTATTTTTATTATTTTTCATATAAATTATAATAATTTTTTTTAAACACTTTTTTTCCGCTTCGCTTTTATAATATGAATACACCTTTTTTGCCACCTTGTACTGGAATGAATTACAGAAAATATTGTGTCGCTTTTAAAATTCTTAATATTTTTCCCTATACTTTATATACGAGCAAATAATAAAGTGTCGCCTTTCAAAATACATTATAAGAAAACAGGTTGACATCTATTGCGTACTCTTTCCCTCTCCCAAAAATTCTTATGTGTATAAAAATGAAAATAAGAAGGTATACTGCTTAACTCTTTTAACTAAGGGAATTTTTTGTATACAAAAATTGGTAAGTGATTGCATTAGTGTGATGTAAACGGAGAGTCGAACTACTTGTTAGTAGATATACTTTGATGCAGACTACTAGTTGCATTATACT